GGGACAGACTGATATTCTGCAGAAGGTACAGGGACTGGACTGATGATGACTGGGGGAAGTCATTGGGGGTGATTTACTAACCTAAACACACGCACGCACCAGGTGCGTGTGATTTTCACACAGCAAAACTTATTTATCAACCAAAAAGTCTCTAAAAGCATATTTCCACTAATGCCATATATGGAAAAATCATGCACATGATGCATATATAATGCTGCTTCACAGTTTAGACAAAAATGGTTAGCTCATGCATTTACATTCCTGCATTCATCAACGCAAGCAACACAACATAGAGCTAATTTACACAACATCACCTTGCAATTCATGCAGGGCTTTGCACAACACACCTGCTGGGTGTGTACACACTATAAAGGTGTCTAGATTCCACCCATAGATCATGCTGGGAGAGAACACACTACAGAGGTGTATACATGTGCGTGGCATGTTTATAAGGTTAGTAAATCAACCCCCATTGTCTCTGATGAATCCCCTTTCCCATTGTTTGGGGCATCCGGAAAATACCGTGTCCGGAGAAGAAAAGGTGAGCAAATAGAGAATGGAACAAAAACATCCTCCAAGAGCAACTTCTCCCAAGCATTCAAGAACAGTTTGGTGCCTTTTCCAGCATGATGGAGCGCCTTGCCATAAAGCAAAAGTGATAGCCAAGTGGCTCGGGGAACAAAACATTGAAATTTTGGGTCCATGGCCAGGAAACTCCCCAGACCTTAATCCCATTGACTTGTGGTCAATCCTTAAGAGGCGAGGGAACAAAAAAAAACCCAGTTTCAAAAACACAAGGTATCACAACGCACGGCAATGCGTCACAAAGCTTTGCCATGCGCTGCCACAGTTAAATGAATGTTTTTTTACAAAAGAAAAAAAATCATGCACTGCAATGCGTTCTAACAATGCACTGCAGCGCATGTGCCTGGCGTACACCACAATATGGTGTACGCCATACTGACCGTACTATGTGAAGGAATAGCTCTCCTCTTCCCACGGCTGATACTTTCAGGAAGTGAACAATACCTCTTATCTCTGTGAAGGTTTCTCATTCATCCAGCTCATGGTATCTCTGTAAATAATACATCAAGGGAACTGGACTTGCTGTGTTTGTTCTTGAAGACGTTTCGCCGGTCATCCGACCAGCTTTCTCAGTTGTGGTCAGAGTTACTTAGGCTTCCGAAGTCTTCATGACCCCTACTGATACCAACCTGATGTGTGCCATGATTTTATGGTCAGCGTGCCAAATAAGGGGGCACGCTCTAGTGAAATGATAGAACCTGAAGAAGGGTGGGAGGGTCAAGCGCGACCTCGCCGTGACGTGCCTAGGAGCTCCCTGTCCCCCTTCTTAAGGGGAGGAGAGCCGCCGCAACTCCTCCCACAAACACGGCCAAGTTACCTTGGCCTATTACTTGTCATTCTGAATTGAGAAAGCTAGTTGGATGACCAGCCTCCGCCAGGCTGCTGCACGTATCAAGAGTCTGATTGTTCTGTGTCCTCATGTGGGATAAGTGGTCTCTGATATGATCTCATAGTCTCCTAGTTGTTCTGCCGACGTATTGTTTCTTATATTCCATACAAGAACACACTGCCTGACCAACACGGGGACACGGAGCTTGGCCAGGGGGTCTCGTGTTCATCTTTTATTACCTTTTTACTGTTTATATATTAGAAGAATGTTTGGGGGGTTCTTCTTACTGGCTGTGGCAATATGTTTTTCTATAGTTGTGATGCAGGTGTATTGCCGGCTGTGGTTGGCTGGCTCGGACATATGAGGTAATTACCCCGAAGATCTTTCACCTGTGAAGCATAGAAATTACGGGTGCACCGATTATTATTATTATTATTATTTAGTATTTATAAAGCGCCAACAGTTTGCGAAGTGCTTTACAATGTAAGGAAGACATTACAATTACAATACAATTCAAGACAGGATGGTAAGGAGGACACCGATACAGAGTACCGATACCCGAAGTCCCATTAAGTTATTAGCCGGGAAGCTGGGCGGCGTGTAATGACCACCATGTGACGAGGAAGCATGTAGCCGACTCCTGGGCCAAACAGGAAGCCGGACGGCGGGTAATGACCCACCTCCTGATTGGCCGGGAAGCCGGCTTGATGCTAATTGGCCTAGAAGCCAACTTCACAGCCAATTAGCATGGAGCCAGCGAAACCGCATGTAGCCAGCTTCCTGGCCAAACAGGAAGCCAGGCTGCTGTTAATTACCCACCTCCTGATTGGCCAGGAAGCTGACTCCATCCTAGTTGGCTGGGATGCCGGCTTCCCGGCCAATCAGCATGGAGCCAGCCAAACTGCATGGAGACAGCTGTCCGGCCAATCAAGAAGGCGGGCGGCAGGTAATGACCCGCCGTTTGGCTTCCTGATTGCCTCCATGCTAGTATCGGTACCAGCGAGTACCCGATTCCCACTTTTATGCTGCTGCATTGCTGAATGGCACCCCAACGCACCTTCCAAATGCACCAGCATTGCTACACCCGGTCATGCACTATCATGCATTGTGGAGCGCTGCATTGCTAAAACTGATGCATTCTTTTTATATTTTAATTGGTTTATTAGGCATTCCATTCAAATGAAGGGAGTTAATGCAGCGCACAGATGTAAACAGGGCATTTAAAGGACAAGTGCACTTTGAAACAAAGTGCATTTATCCGTTTTTCCCCCTTCCATACCAGACTTAAACAATCCCACCCTCCCCCTCTGTAGATCCGTGCTTACTGAGATCTGATGGGCACCGTTCCGCTATTGTTTCCATCCAGAGCCATGATGCTCCCCCTGCTGGCCGCACCTGCACATTACAGCCCCATAGACTTCTACAGGGCCGTCTCCGGGTTCAGAGCTGTCGAGAAGCTGATGAAACATGTTATTGATCGGTATCTTACTGTGCGGGAGGTATTGGGGTGTCTTGTTGTACAATCCCGTGAGAAATATATAAGAACGGAAATTTTTGGACCTGGAGTTTGGCTCGGCTCTAACTTTAGCCCGTGACATACAAGCAATTATAACTATAGCAGACACAGGGTCTGTACGATTGAAGGATGCCATATGATATACACACAATGCTCCTCGCAGTGGCCGTGTGATCTAAGCTTTTTTTATCTCCCCCAAACCATAAATCACAAAAATCCAACACAAGCTTTGAAACTTTAACATTGTTTATTGCATTTTGAAAAGCTGATTTCTGTTTTAATATCTTTATTGGTATCATAAGACAAATCAGTATACATCCGATATACATGAGGACCTCACTGCAGTAATAGTACAAGTACGCTCCGTATACATTGTAACATTATAAAGATTGGAAGAAATGGAAGATGTAGCTCCCAACGGTCCCTGATCTGGAGGGACCATCCCTCCTTAAGAACCAAATCCGTCTGTCTCACTTTCCAGCTAATTTACTCCTCTTTTGAGTCTGATGTATAGACTGTAGATGCCAACTGTGAACCAGTGTGCTGCGCTTGGTATTGTGATACGTGCTATATTTATACCACAAACGAAACCAATATAAGTGATCAAATCCTACTTGCAACTAAATGCAATCCAAAGGTGCATAAGATGCCAACTGTCCCAGATTTGCCAGGATGGTCCCACATATTGGACCTCAGTCTTGAACATGTTGTGTCCTGAGCCATGTCCCAGGATCATCATTTTTCATGTTACTGCTCATGCCCAATACCCTAATAAGGCCTTCAAACCCCACATTATGTGGGGACTGCCCACTTGCAGCCCCTGATCACCTGCAAGTGGGCGGTCCCCACAGAATTAGAGGAGGGATTCGCATAGGCCAATCCATTTAATACAAGGGGTCTGGTTGTGACCTCCCTATTCCCGGGGTGCACTGTGGGCAGGACCGGGACTGAATGATGGTAAGTATGATAGAAGTCTGTAACAATGTACAATTTTTTATTTTTCAAAAGAAAAGTACAGTGGTACAGTACGTGAATGCACGAGCACAATATCTGATATCATGGATCATGAAATATACAGAGTCTTACATCATGTGCATTGTCTTATATGGCTTCAGATCATTTGTTGAAAAAAAACAAAAACGTTTCGAAAATCAAACAACATGAAATAAAAAATAATGCTACGTATTCCATAGTGTGGTCTCGGAGGGGATCGTAGTAACGAGATAGAAGAGGAGGGAGGAGAGGATGTGCGATTCTACGCAAGTTCTGCGGCCGCTCATCCTCTCACCCCAACTCAACCTAGGCATAGAGACATTAGTGCAATTATCAGGGCTCATATACTTGCAAGTGAGTAAAGTAGAATAGAGCTGATGCTACCAATAAAGCCAGTGTGCTTCCTCATTTTTAAAATGCTAGTAGACAATGTACAATTTGACTATGAAAAGTGTTTATACTGAACTATAGATTTTATACAACCTCTAAATGACGACATTTCTGTGTAAAGTAAAAAGTAGTGGTGAAAAAACATTATCATTTTCGGGATATAATAATTTCCTGGCCTGTATAGACGGGGCGTGTCAGTGGTGTGTCCTTCTCCTACATACTTTGTCCTAGAAGGTAAACCAAACAGTAAGTCACCAGCACTCCAATGGTTCTCCAGGCTAAGTTCTTTTTATTCCATGTGTAACGTTACATCATCAAGTGGTGATGCAACGTTACACATGGAATAAAAAGAACTTAGCCTGGAGAACCTTCGGAGTGCTGGTGACTTACTGTTTTGTTTATCTTATCCAGCGGCGCCATCCGCTGTCATTACAGCACTCCCCTATTGGAAGTTGGGGCATTCTCGGTCAGGAGTGCAGTGGGATTCCCTACATGATTGTTCTAGAAGGTGTCCCTCTGATCACAGAAAGATTTAAGCAATGATAAGAGATAATAGAAGGGGATCACACATCGTTAGGAGTGTTGTCATGAAATCTTTCTGGTCCTTTAGTTGTCCCAGCTGTTACTATTTTTATTTTTTGTATTGATGACACAACATGCAAAAACAAAATAATAATATATTGTGAATTACGGTTTTATAGAAAATACCAGAGATGCCAGCTTTACCCAGCATGCTTTTCCTATATAGAAAGCAGCATGGAGGGGCTCGGTGAAGGTGGCGGTGAAGGTGTGGAGATGTCTGATGGGGTCACATAGCTGGTAGTAGGACAGACGGCCGGCTTCATAATCCAAATATAATCCCAATCTCTGCACAGAAGACTCAACGTTTACCTCCTGTGATTGAGAATCATGCATAACATTATAACTGTTTTCATATATACAGAAACTCCAGGACTTGTTATTATACCCAATACAAGACTCCTCTCCTTTTCTCTCTATACTGGGATAGCAAACACCTACATCCCAGTCCCCACAGTCACTGACCTCTACTTCCCAGTAATGTCTGCCATGGGAAAAGCTCTCCATACTCATCACCTGAAAGACTTGTGTAAATCTCTCTGGTAATTTTGGTCTTTTCTTATATATTTCAGAGTAGGACGCTGTTCTCAGGTCATAGGATAAAGTCACAGATCCATGGGCAGTCTTTTCATCCAGTAGCAGATCCGGTGAATCCTGGATACAGAAGTTGCTTTTTAATTGCATGTTAGTGATAAGAGCCGTTATAGATCTGTGCAACACAAGTGAGATCATGAAATCATCCAGATCACGAACAGAAGATCCCTCCACATTCCGGTCACCTGTGTCTGATCCCGGATCTTGTAGGACTTCATCAGTATCCGATTCCTCATCTTGTAGGACTTCATCAGTATCTGATTCCTCATCTTGTAGGACAGTTATTGGGTCGGTCATATTTTTTATCTTCTCGATGTGACACATTTTCTTGGACAGCTTGTCCTCATGTATCTTCAACTGTTTGGTAAGATCAATGACTGACAGTGAGACCTCCTCTACCTGCCTGGAGATCTCACTCAGGACTTTCTGTTGCTGGACTTCCATCTGTCTCCCGAAATCCTCAAACAGGGCGGTGACTCTCTTCTTCTCATCACCTTCTTTTTTATGGACTTTCCTCTTGTGGTCCTGTAGATTTTGAATTCTCTGCTCAGTTGCTTTTCTCTTCATAGTCAGTTTTCCTAGAACACCTCTCAGTTTCTCCTTCTTCTTCTCAAAAGCGTCTTCTAGAAGTTCCACTTCATGCCCTTTATGTTTCCCCACCAGACAGCAGGACACACATAGGCAGACGGCGTCCTCGGAGCAGTAATACTCCAGAAGCTTCTTGTGGATGGAACATTTTTTACTTCTGAAGGATGTGGTGGGTTCCATCAACACATGGTCCACTGTCTTGTTGTGGGCTGTCAGGTGCTTATCACACATAGAGGTCTCACACTGCACACAAGTCTTAATGGCTGCTGCTGGAGAATCCACACAATACGTACAGAAGATCTCACTTTTCTCCTCTGTTGGTTGTGCAGATCTGAAGTTTTCGACAATGTTACACAACTTCCTGTTCTTCTCCATTGTAGGACGTTCCACAGACTCCTCTCTGCACTCCGGACAGGTATAAACTCCAGACCCCTCCTGTGTATCCAGAGCAGTCACAATGCAGTCCCGGCAGAAGTTGTGTCCACACCTCAGGGACACCGGCTCCGTATAAAGGTTCAGGCAGATGGAGCAGCTCAGCTCATCTCCTAGAGCAGCAGACGCCATTCTGGGAACAATGAAGAAGAAACAAAATTCAAAATCAATTTCCATAAAGACGGTGGAGGCTATTAAGAGTGAATCCTTACAGAGGCAGGAAAGACCCAGAGCAAGCTATTATTAAGGATGAACTCCAGGAAAATCAAAAACTTACCCTCAGTGCAAGGGTTAAGTGTTTTTTTTCCCTAGGAGACACTATTAAAGCTTTTTACACTCTAACAAACGAATTGTTTGTTTTATTAAAAATATTATTGCAGCATTTTGCATTCCGCTTTTTAGGTATTTTCAATATGGCATTTTAAAGTAAATTAGAATTTTAAAAAATACTTAAACACAACTTATAATTCTGTCTATATTCAACAAGTATTACTTTAAAAATCAATTAACAGCAACTAAACCCAACAATATATTTTAAGGTATTCTAACTTAACAATCTGCCCTGCTGAGATCCTCCATCTGCCCCTGCTTTATTGGAATGCTATGGAGACCCCTCCTCTCTTGCACTAGATTAGTATTATTAGCATCATGTGTATAGAAGAACTTGTGGCCATGGATATGGGGTCTTATGATCGTTTGTATTCCATTTGGGCGTTGTGAGTGCAGTATTCTTTCTCTGCCTCCCTATCTCAGCACCTGGATGTTTCAGTATCTGATGCAACTCCCGATATCTGTTCCTAACTTACCTTTGATGTTTCTTCATGATTTTTATACCCTCATTGCACCATTTTGTTGTCAGATCTACAGTCATCTCTTTCCTTATCTTTCTCTCATTTTCTTCTTTTCTTTATATCTTGCCTTCCTCTCCTTCTCTTCTTCATACAGCATTTCCCTTGTTTGTATATTTACTTCTACCAGACCTTAAACTATATAATTATATATGTGATTTCTTATGTCATTCTTTGAGCTTCCTACTTATAGCCTTGGTGTCTTGTAGTAATGTTCCTACTTTACTTGATATTTTATCATTTAATACTTCTGTGATTTATGACACATGACACAATTTATATGTCCTATGTTCAGTTATGTCTCTCAAAACCTTTCGCCATTTTGGTCTGTTTACATTATTGTTTCATTGTATTTTTGATCTACTTAAATAAATCTTGATTCAACCATAAAGCCAGAGCAGCCTTTGCTGAGCAAGAAATGCAGATAAAAAAAGGCAAGGCATGATTAGAGGCTGAGAAGGTGCAGCAAGAGGTATCTATAGAAAAGTAGAAAGCCCTTCTAGAAGCAGACCTAGAGAGAAAGAAGCCGCATCCACGCCACCATAGCCGTAGCAGTGGTACCCTGCTAGTAAACAGAGCAGATGCAGCAATGTATTTGGCCCAGATGCTGAACCCCAAGATCCTCTACAACAAACTTTAGATTGTGCTTCAGATCAACAACATTCCAAGCCAAGTAGAAACAAAGGCAATGTAGAGGAAACAAACCAAAGAGGTCACACGGCACTATCACAAGTCAGCGACAACTCTCAATTAAGCAAACAATAGAACTACAAGCACAGTCAGGGCCTGATTCCCCACAAGGCCACCGAGGCCTGGCGGCAGGGTGTAGAGGGGTGGCAGCGTGTGTGGAATCCCCGACGCCCGGGACATGCAGTTCCGGGTGCCGGGCGGTAAGTTGCTTTCTACATTTAGCCCTGCTTTGGGAAAGCAGAGCTAAATGTAGTGTAAGGAAGCCGGTGCTTGTTCGTTCGTTCCCACCCGCCCCTCCCCCCTGCACTTACCTCTCTCCTTGCTGGCTCTGTCTTCCGGGCTCCGCCGCTGAGTCTGTCTCCTCACTGGCCGCCGATGCGGTGAACAGAGCGGCAGGGGTAAAAATAAAGGTGATTAAAAAGTATAAAATAATAAGAAAATAATTATTACAAAATAAAAAGAAAATAATCATTAAAAATAAACAATAATAAGATAACAAATTCTAAAAAATAAAAATGCAAATGATAAGATAAATAAACGTTTAAAAAGGTAAAATAAAAAATATAAAAAAGTGATAATAAAAGTTTTAAAAAAATAAACAATAAAAAAATTTAAACTAACCCTGCCGCACCTGCCACCCGGTTGCCATTCTCCATTGAAGTGTGTGTGTGTGTGTGTGGGGGGGGGTTTGCATTGCGGAACCTGGCCTTGGGGCAGCAGGTAGAGTAAATCCGGCCCTGAGCACAGTGACATCTCGTAGGACAGACTTTTAACAGACAAGGTACCAGAGCCTACAAATTACCCTCCAGAATCAGCCTTCGCACAAGAGGCTGGCTTTAACCAGAGGTATGATTACACACAACTTTTCCACCATGGCAATACACTGCCGGCTAATCAAGGTACTTTGCACGGAGCAAGTTAGTCACCAAAAGACTTGAAACATTTAATGATCACCCTGAAAGATACAGAACCTGGCAATTCTCCTTCCAAAATGCTGTCAGAGGCTTAGACCTTTCATGCAGTGAGAAGATAGATCTCCTGATCAAATGGCTAAGCATGCTAGACGATTCAGGACAATATGTGTAAACTACCCAGAGACTGGCCTTACAATGATCTGGGACAGACTTGATGAGTTTTATGGCTCAGCAGAAGCAATAGAAAGTGCACTATTCAAAAGACTTGATAGCTTCCCCAAAATACCCAACAAAGCCTATCAGAAACTAAGGGAACTAAGTGACTTGCGAAAGGTGCTTCAGGTGGCCAAATCCAGAGGGGACTTACAAGGACTTGCATTCCTTGACACAGTCAGAGGTGTCAACCCCACTGTGCAAACATTACCTTATAACTTATAAGAGCAGTGGATCACACGAGCCTCCAGATATAAAAGACAATACAATGTTCCATTTCCCCCTTTCTCTGTTCTTGTGGACTTTGTGCGCCAGCAAGCTAAAACAAGAAATGCTCCTAGCTTTGACTTTACACTGTCATGTGCTGCTCCTACAGGATTTAACCCTTGCAAACCCTCATATGCTCCTACAGGACTAAACCATCGCAAACCTCAAGTAGCAGTATAGAAAACTAATGTTACTCCTTCAGATTCTTTTCAAAGGTCTGCCAGCTCTTGTAATTCATGGACAAAGATCAAAGATCCTGGTAAGCAGAGTCCCTTGCACCAGAAGACATACCCTCTCCTAAAATGGAGAGACTTCAGTGAGAAGTCAATGGAGGACCCGAAACCCTTCCTGAAGGAGAACAACATCTGCTACAAGTGCTGCTCATCGAAAACTCACCTTGCCAAGGACTGTAAGATCAGTGTAAAATGTATAGCATGTGACAGCTCAGAACACAACACAGCTTTACAACCTGGGCCAACCCCATGGACTTTACACCACATTTACAGCACTAGCGTGCATGGCGGGGAGGAAGAATACACTACTACAACTACACCAGAGATCACTTCACAATGTACAGAGGTCTGCAAAGGAGTCATCGGTGGCAGGCCCTGCTCCAAGACCTGTCTAGTCAGAGTCTACCCAGCAGGTCAAAAAGACAAAGCAATTAAGCTTTATGCAATTCTTGATGATCAATGTAACAAGTCTTTAGCCAGCTCAACCTTATGTGAAATGTTCGGCATTAAAGGTCCCCGTGTTCCTTACTCCGGAAAAACTTGTTCAGGAATAGTGGAGACAGCGGGGAGGAGAGCATTTGAGTTGAGTCTATTGACGGACAAACATGCCTGCCCTTACCTTCTCTTATTGAATGCAATCAGATCCCTGATCATAGATCTGAAATACCTATACCAGATGTAGCGGTTCACCACCCACACTTGAAACGCATAGCGCACCTGATACCAGAACTTGATTCTCAGGTGCACATAATCCGACTCTTTGGAAGAGACATCTCACAAAGCGAGAGCTCAGATTAATGGTCCCCCCAATGCTCCCTATGCCCAGAAGCTAGACCTAGGATGGCTCATTATAGGAGATATCTTCCTAGGAGCCATGCACAAACCATCACTGTTAGCAGCATGCTAACAAGTACACTAGAGAATGGACGTCTCTCTTTTCCAGCCATGCCACAATCATTTCCTCATAAAAGAATTGCCATACTCTACTTATTTGCCTTGTTTCTTCATAGGCCCGTCCAAGTGGCAACCTCACATGTGGCAGTGACCAAGACCATTTAGGGTGTACAGTCTTTCAAAGACAAAAGAAGACAATCAAGTGGCGATGTCTATTGAGGGCAAACCCTTTCCTAGAAATAATGGAACAGGGACTAGTCAAAGATGAAACAAACAGCTGGGTCACACCTCTTCCTTTCAGACCACAGAGGTTATGCCTACCTAAAAACAGAGAACAAGTACTGAAACATGTCTTGCTTTGGGTTTTTCCTGCCTCTGGAAGGGTGAATTCGTAAAGCCTGCACCCTGTGCAAACTGATTTTCAGTTCTTTCTTCCTTCCTTGTTCCCAGAATGGCGTCTGCTGCTCTAGGAAATGAGCTGAGCTTCTCCATCTGCCTGAACCTTTATACAATAGCAGGTTATCTATTAGCTATGGAATCCACCCACTGCCAGGGGAGCAGACCCGATGGGGAACTTGGCCCTCAGCTTCCTAAACAGATGCCGACTTCCCACTAGTAAAACTCCTTGGCCGCTTCTTCACTGTAGGACTGGTGCAGCGACTAAGGAAGGTGGTGGGTTACAATGAGGATGGACATCATGACCTCAATGCGCCTCTTCCCCGCTAATGGCATTGCTTGTGCCTAATTCATGTACCTGTTTCCTACAGGTACATGAATTTGGGGCAAGCACCGGCATATGTTGTTCTGATGCATCACGAAAGTCTAAAGAGTGTCATAGACCATCTTTATGAATATAGGTATAGAATTAACAGTTTGCTAAGCCTAAGGTTCTGTATAAATGTTCAGGGAGATGGAGCAGCTCTGCAGATGCCATTGTGCAGGAAGCTGGAAGAAAATGAAACTCCCAGGGCTACAGGAAGTGGGCGGGGATCTCTCACTGTTAATGTAGCCTGGATTTTAACCCTTTTATAGCCATGAGCTGTGCCTCATGGGGTCAGCAAATACCGGGGTAA